AAAAAAAAAAAAAAAAAGTTCAACAACATTAAAAATTCTCAAATTACTACTGTACTAATTTGCTTGGATTTCGCACCCGCTGCATTAGCCTGAAGTGCACCAATGCACTTGCGCCCTTTGCCAGTTTGCCAATGTTTAGAGCTGTAAACTGAAGTATTATTGAAATGGGTTAATTTAATAAATAATTTAGCAATTTTTATATTTTTATATTTTATTTATTATTTTTAAATATTTTTAGATTCATCTATTATTATTTATTTTTAATTTAATTTAATTTAATTTATTAATTTTAACAATAATTTCACTTTATTTAGTTAAATTAATATTTAACTATATTTTTTTTATAAATTTTTATTCATTAAAATTAATTTTAAGATAAAATTACTTTTATAAAAATGACAAATTCTTTTTTGTTGTTTGAAAAATTACAACTTTTATCACATATACTTCATTTTTTTTAATAATTCTCTTTCATAATAAAAATCATAATCATTAATATATTTTAATAATTTACACAATTTGTTATGGATTATTTTACTCACTAAAATTATTTAATTTTAATTTTAATTAATTTTTTATTTTTTAATTCAAACTAGTAAAAATTGTATACATATGTTATAAAATTTATAAATTATTTAAAAAACTTTATAAACTAAAATAAAATTAACCTAATAATTACAACACCACTAATTGAATTAAGTCTCATAATAATAATAATAATAATTATTATTATTATTATTATTATTATTATAAGCAAAGACAATTTTAAAGGAAAGGAAAAGGGAATAAGCTGAGTCCATAAGCTAAGAGAATCATCTATAATCCATAGCTCAAAGTACAAATATTTAAGAAGTTGATGTGATTCGAACTCTCAATTAATCCATCCCAACCCAAATAATAAGATTTAAAAACCAAACATTATAGGCAAAGCTGCTTCGAATTAAGCCTTATTGGAACTATTTTGTGATTAGTTAAATCTCTAATTTAGTATTTGAACTATTATATGGATCCTTAATTTAATTCTTGAATTAAAAAAAAATTTAATTTGATCCTTAAATTATTATACAAACCTTCAATTTAATCCCTAATGTTTATCAATTTGCTCTACATTAGTCTTTTCATATAAAAAACAACTAATATGTCTTTTTATTAATATGACACGTGAACATTAAATAATTATTTTTTGACATTAAGTAATAGACACATCAGCTATTTTTTTGTATGAAAGACTAACCTCAGATAAATTGGTAAACATGAAGGACTAAATTGAGGGCCCACGTAATAATTTAAGAATCAAATCAAAAGTCTATATAATAATTCAGGGATCAAATTGAAATTTTAACCTTTCTAATTTCCTACCGTTCAAAAAAAATGAAAATTACTTGGATTTTAGTTGACCCAATTCCTTGACCAGCCTGTCCAAATCCCTCGTGGAGCTTCCACCTGCAGCCACCGCCGCAAACGCTTCCTGTCTCAAGTCTTTAGC